CCCTAAAATTCATACTCGAGGTCCTCACCTGAAGTCCTTAAAATGCGACTGTATTTGAAGACTGGGTCTTTAAAGAAGAAACAATTTATGAAGTCTTGAGCCATGGTCTTAATTCAACTTGACTGGAATCCTTATAAGAAGAGAAAATTTGGACACATACTCAGAAAGAAAGCCATGGGAGAATCCAGAAAGCTACAGGTAAGGACAAGGACCTCAGAGAACCAACCCTGCTGAACACGACTCAGACTCCTGGCCTCCACATCCTTGCAGACATCTCTGTTACTCAAGCCCCCTGTCCTCGGTACTCTGTCATGTCAGCTGAGCAACCTGATGCAAGTAGAGACCACCACCTCCTATTGGCTGGGCTTGGGGTCAGTGAGCTAGGCATGCTGGGTGGAAGCCCCGTCCCCAGTGGGGCTGCTCTGGTGGGTGCCAACCAGGTGGATGAGTTCTTAAGACCCCTGCTCATGCCCCCAGTGAATTCCGTTCCCTCCACAGTAGACGACCTTCACTGTTGAGTCTGAACTCAAGAAAACAAGGTATTCCCATCATATTAAACATGGAGAATGCCCATAAAGAACTTCTTCTGCTTTACAGAGAGGGTGGGAGATGGGGAGGGATGGGGCAAGGGGTGAGTGTCTCCTCTGTTCTGGCACCACAGAGACCAAGTCCTTTCCCTTCCAGAGACCCTGGACAGAGAGCACTCCAGGCAGAGCTGCCCACCCCTGGCCTGGTGGAGACTGGGGTAAGCCAGTCCACAGCTCATCACACAGCACTTTAAAAGCACTTTTAAGACTCTTTTTGAATAGATGAGAAACACTGGCAATAACCTGACCTTAACACAAAAAAAACCAGTACTATTTCCCCTTCTTAGTCATGGCTAATGCAAGAATAAACCAGATAAAATAAATGTCCTTGGAGCATTCCAGCTAGAGCGTGATTATCATTAGCATTACTTTATGATGGGGTTTTCTCAAGGTCACTCTAGAATTAGTGGCAATGTGGGACTGAGCACTCATCCATTATGTGGGTTAAAATGACTAATTGAGGGTCTGAGTTTAATTATACTCATAAGCACAGGCACAGTGCAGCTCCTTTGATGGCTTAATAACATTCTTGTGTACACAAAGATAGATGGAAAAATTAGGGTTGTATATTGTTGTCCTTTAGGACAAGATGCTGAAGTGGGAATAGAATAATAAAAATAAACAAACGACTCAGGGACACCAGGAAATGAGCTGGGGAAGCTAGCAAACCCAGCCTTGTGCACATGCTCGGGCTGGAGATAAAGTCCCAAGTACCCATGACTAAATACAGTGCAGCTATACAGTAACGTAGACCCGAGTCTCTTATTGAGCTGCCTCTTAGATTAACAGGAAAAAGAGGATGCTAGCAAGGCTTTACCTGCAGCTCACTCTGAAATGATGATAATGGCCACGACAGGGATCTTTAGGGTATTGATTTGTGATATCTTCAGTGGGAAATGCAGCCATGTTTCACAGTAAGTCCAGAAAGCATTCATTCTGTACACAGCTGCTGGAGTTACTTCCAGAAATGACACTTATATCATGTCATGCTACCTGTGTAAGGACGCAGAATAACTTCTGGCTGTTAGATAAATCCAAGCCACCTTGAGAAGCTGGCTCGAAGTCTAGAACAATAAGAGCAGGGCAGCTCTGCAGTGCGAGCAGAACATGCAGAAGATGCAGTGTGGGGAGACCCTTATTGAATGGAGGTTGGATGAAACCTTCTTCAGCTGAGGTGACCATACCTGGGCTTGAAGAACTCAGTCCTGTTCACACATACTGCTTTGTTTTGTATCTGAGCCATAGAAGGGAAGGGCCTGTGTACAGAAACACAGGTCCCTGTCTGGGTTGTTTGTCCCCATGTGTGGGCACTATTTGGGGACAGGCTGTGTCCCTTCTCTGAGTTATTTACTCATTTTTCTCCCTGTGCTGTGTCCACAGGTGACTACCTGGTTCTGTAGGTGTCTCTCCATTTCTTACTGGGGTGATGTGTTCCTTACCTGGGGATGCCAATACAAAGCACCACGAGATCCATGGCTGAGAGCAACAGAAATGTATTCCCTTAGAGTTCTGGAGTCTAGAACTCCAGAATCAAGATGTTGGTGGGGTCATGTTGCCTCTGAAGGCCCAACAGGAGGATCCCATCCCTCTTCCTAATTTATGGAAGCCTTCAGCAATCCTTGGCCTCCTTGGCTTGCCACTCCATCCCACCAGCCTCTGCCTCTGTCTTCACTTCTCCCTTCCTCCTGTACATCTCGCTGTGTGGCTCTTCTCTTCTTACAAGGACAAGTACTACCTGATATTAACTATGTTTCCAAAGGCCCTATTTCCAAATAAGGTCACAAGCTGAGGTTACGGGTGGGCATGAATTTTGGAGGGACATTTTCAGCTCACCACGCGGACCTCAGCTGACATGAACTTGTCCAGAGGCAGAGCCCATGTGACCTCACTCATCAGTGTTCAGACGGGGTGGTCAATACGTGTTTCCAGTTGAAGGTGATGTTGGTGCCGGCCAAAGGTTAACAGATATATCTGATTACACTGTGTGCAACAAAACAGTCATGGGGATAAAACTAAATCTATTTCAAGACCTGCACAGCCTGACAGGCCATCTGAAGTCCTTTCACCAGAAGAATTCTTAATCATAAATGAAGAAGAAAAGATGAGCTATATCCTTCATATATATATGTCTTCAGTCTTGTTAACTATTTGTTACATTTATTTTGAACCATATTTTTATTTTTATTTTGGTGGGGTGGATACCATAGACAGTCAACCCCTGAGACACATCCCCAGGCCTATTTTATATTTTATTTAGAGACAGAGTCTCACTGAGTGGCTTAGTGTCTCACTGTTACTGAGACTGGCTTTGAACTTGCAATCCTCCTGCCTCAACCTCACGAGCTGCTGGGATTACAGGCATGCACCACTACACCATATTTTAAAATATCAGACATTAAAGCTTGAACAAGGCAGAATTGGAGCAAAAGACACAATGAGAGAAGGGGAAGAAATGAGGAAGGCCAGCAGGAGTTGGGGCACAGTAGGGAATGAAGCCCTTCCCGTCCTGCTCCTGATCTCACAACACTAACCCATTCCCTCCCACAAGCCGGCCACCATCACGGTCATCAACCTGCTTCTCCAACAAAATGTAAGAGATTAATTTTTTTTCATTTCTGTCCTCTTTCCTCAGTGACAGATAGATACTTCGGGAACAACTAGATAGATCTGCTTGAGAAAAAATCCATTTCCTACTCCAAAATGAATTTTAAATGGAAGAGGACTAAGGGCATCCACTGTTCATTTTATATTTGCTATGTGCTTAAGTTTTTGCTGTGTCAACATGCCAGGACTTTTCCACGAAGGTGTTTCCTGTCTGCTTAGGGAAGGCGGAGGCAAGTGGTTCCTCTCTCTAGAAGGTACCCTGAAGCTGGCTCCTTCCCCAGGCAGGGTCTGGAGCCACTGCCACGGATGCTGGACCACGCCCATTGCCCAAGGGACAGCACAAGACAGTGGACACAGTCTCCCGAGATTGGAGCCCATAAAGGCAGGATGACATCAGCCTCTCAGCTCCACATGACAGAGGCACAGACTTATCTCTCTCACTCAGATTTCCCTTTGCTGAGCTTTTTTTTTTTTTTTGGACATTTAGGAGCAGTGAAATTTGCATTCATAAAATTGTATTTTCTTTCTGAAAAACAATAAAAATGTGATCTCTTTATAGCAACTGCTTAAATCTTTAACCTTGGCTTCTCACCCAAGATGACATAACACGTATGAATTGTTTAGGAACAAAAATCAAGAGTAATGATTTCTAATGGTGAAGTGATAGATCTTCTCTACCATATGCTCCTCCTGGACTGGTAAGCTACACTGGCTTAGGAAATACTATCCCGGGAAGAGTTCTATTTTCTTTTATATTTCACTTTCTTTATCCATTTCTGAATATATGGTTAACAGAAACAAGCCCAAAATATCAACTTATCTTGACATTATCCAATGATGGAGGAGTCTGAGTACTGTAAAAATCATGTCAATGTCATTGTCTAGGATATTCCTTAAAAACAGCCTTATCTTAAAGAAAACAAAAGGCACCTATAACTGTCTAAATGAAGATTCAAGATTAGGCTAAGAGACTAACTCTGTCCGAGCCACTTGCCACTCTATACTTAAATTCTGTCTTATTCTGTTTTCTGTTATTACAACAAAGAATTGATTCTGGGTACTTTATTAAAAAAAGGGGGTGGGGTTATTTAGGTCAGAGTTTTGGAGACTGCAAGTCCAGGACTGGCCAGCCCCATCTGTTCAGCTCTGGTCAGGGCCTCCTGGCAGTGATACTACAAAAGCAGGAGTGTGTATGGGAGAGATCATGTGGCAAAACGAGAAGCCACAGAGATCTGTGGACCAGGATCAGTCTTTTAACAACAATCTGTCTCAAAGGAATAACCAGGTGCCCCCCACCCCATCAATCCCTTCCCACCAGACCCCATCTCTGAAAGGCCCCACCATCTCTCCTCCTCACCACACTGAGCACCAAGCACAGCAACCCTGGTGGACAAGTCAATCCAGACCACAGCAAGGCCTTAGTGGAGGGAAATGGAAAGGAAGGAACTGGGGACAGGAAGAAAGCAATTGGCCTTTTAAGGCCAGAGGGATGTTGGCCAAGCAGAGGCCACCTAGTAGGTGGCTTGACTATATTTGGATCAAAACTTCCAGGTCCTTGGAAGGCAGAGATTCTATAAATAATAAGAATCTTTGAAGGTCGACTTAAGAGTCTAATCTCTATGGACAATGCACCTCAGAATTCCTGGACTTCTCCCAGGGCTGTGCCAGACCATGCCAGCTGCTCTTTCTGGCCATGATGCAGTCCTCTCCATGCCTGGCCCAATGTCACCTGATCCTCGAGGTCATTTTTGCCCACACCTGGCTGAGTTCGTGACTCCCATGGCAGTTTCCCTCCTGCGCTACCCTAACCGTGACGTCAGCCTGAGAGTAGGACACCACCTTCGGGCTGACGGTATGGACGGCCCCTTCTTCCACTAGGCACAAGTTTTTAAGGTGCGGGAGCTGCTGTGTTGACCACTTGTCTCCTGCCTGATTCCCAAGGCACACACTAAGTTTTCAGCAAATGCTTACAAGATAAAACTACTGTAAGCAAAAGCAGCCTAGGAAGATTTTTTTTTTAATGTGAATAAAAGATCTAGGAGTTTCTGGAAAAAGCAAGAATGTAGATAAACTCATACTAAAACCTAAAATCTTCTATCATGATTTGCACCCATTTGGGTATATTGTCAACATTATTTCTCAGTAAATAGGAAAACAAATTCCTTGAAACTCTACCTCCACTCACACTTTGACAACTTAACTTTGGCCTCCTCCAGGGCAGCTTTCTTCCTCTCCCAGTCACACCTGATCATCAACGTGAGATGATGCATAAACACATTCAAACAAGAGAGGAACCCAGGGCATGGTGGTGCACACCTGTGATCCCAGGGGCTTGGGAGGCTGAGGCAGGAGGATCCAGGTTCAAAGCCAGCCTCAGCAACTGAGAGAGCCCCTACGCAACTCATCAAGACTCTGTCTCTAATAAAATATCAAAATAGGTCTGTGGACGTAGCTCAGTGGGTAAGCACCCTGGGTTCAATCCCCTGTACCCAAACACACAACAAGGACAAAAAACAAAGACAAATAAGAGAGGTGAAATCATACTGCTTTTTGTAGGAGGATGGAAGTTTAATGAATTAAGGGAGAAGTTAAAGTTTCACTGATTTTGATGAGTTTTGGTTTGTCACTCGCTTGATAAACCCAGAAACGTGGGATATCACAAGCCCTGGTTGCATCTTGGCTAAGGAAACCTGCTCTGGCTACAACAAACTCTTTCCAGACCAAATACTCTCTTCCCGTGCTTCCTGTGTGGCTACCACTTCTAGCCAGCAGCAAAAGCCGAAGCTCTGAGTGAGCAGAGAAGGATCGAGAGTCTCCTGAGTCTGACCTACCCTTGTTCTCACCTCACCCTCAGCAGAGGGCTTACAAAGGGGGCCCTTGTCATGCACCAGTCCAGCTTCTTCAGCTACTTTTTCATGACAGTGCTACACGTGTATGCTCTTAATGGCAGCACCCCAAGCCTTCAGTCAGACATCAAGAAGACATAATCATGCTCCTGTAGTACTCAGATTTCAACTGATAGACTAACTAGCTCTTTACTCTTCTGCCATTGAGTCTGAGACACAGACGTCATTAGGAACCATGACAGGCTTGGTAAGTCGGTGGCAGCAGGGAGGGAGAAACTAATCATAATAAGTGGAAATAACTGATCTAGAAAGATCAGGCATGAAAGGTGGGGATGCCTGCAGCTTGAGCTTTGGAAGAGTGAGACAAGAGGTTTCTGAAGGGTAACAATTGAGGAAGTCATAAAATTCATGCCACAATGGAGCTATTTTGGAAAACTGTAAATTTGGCTTACATTAGAGACTACCCATGTCAAAAATTCAAGAATTTGAGACCTGGAAGAAAAGCAAAATTGTCAGAGGGTCCCCAGTGCTGTGAATGTGTGGAGATACGCATGGAGCCTGTCTCTTGATCTCACATTCTGCATACACATTCACACAGAGGCCCCTCTCAAGACTAGGCTGAGAGTGTTATTATGAATATTCATGACATGACGATTATTAATGTCACTGAGGTGATTTCATTCCTGCTTGGCAGAGACAAGTTTTTATACCTAGAAACCGAATAAGTGTTAAGAGAAATGGCAGCTTTGCACCAGCCCAGCGAAAGCAACTCTGTACGTTTTAGTCTTGAAATTCAGATTATTTGACTAGGTGCTTTTAATCACCCCCTCCTGGCCCCCATCCCATGATCAACCTCATCCTGGGGAGATTTCCAGCTTTGACACACAAGGCAGCATCCTTGGGAGCACAGGTTCCAGAGTTTATGACTGTATCTTGATTATTACTTCCTTTCCTAGGAGTCAAAATTAAACAAGGCATAAAGAGGCTCTAAGAAGTCTCAATAGATTTCTGGGGGATGATTTTGTAAAAATGCTTTGGGAGAGAATTACCACACATTTACAACTTCTATTATTTAGAAAAGCATTTAACACAACAGGCCTTATGAAACAGCTCTTTCTAAGAACCACAGACGTGCACAGTCACACAGAGAACTGAAAAACAGAAACAAAACCAGCTACTGGTGATAGTTAAGTAGGTCTTTGCACATCTGTTGTCGACTCCCCAAGCAACTGGCCTGTCTGGTTATTCTACGTGCATGATATTACATCAAATGACCCAAAACTATTGTTTTCAATTAAAGTGACTTATATTTGGTTAGTTAAAATACATGTTTGGGGCCCTAGACTAAAAAAAAATATGTTAAATAAGTCAGACACAGGTAGTGGTAGGTACAGGGCAGTGGAAGGTGCCTACACCAGTTCAGTGCAGGATTAAAAACTTTTGGTTAGCTTCTTATACTGCACTGCCACATCAACACTCATCTTTGCAGAACAATCCGACCCTTAGGAAGGCAGCAGCGAAAGCTACAAGGAAGAGTGCCTGACCCAGGAGGACCCAGGGAAGATGGCAGGAGCAGGCCCTTGTGCCGCGGGACTGACCTTAGGCACCCAGTGGCATTGCGCAGCACCTGTGATGAATGCAGCTGAATTTTCCGATCATCCTGAAGAGGTGAATTTTCCCAGCCTGAGTGGGGGATAATCACCGCGTTGGTCAATACTGCCAGGGCGTCCTGGATGATTGGCATTTTGAGTGCATCACACGACGAGAGGTTCCACAGGACTCCTGCAAGAGACACACAAGGAGAGAGTTGGTGGCGAATGGTCGTTCTCATCTCAACAGTGTTTTCCTCTCTGGAGTGAAAGGCACCGGCAGGAAGGAGTGAGGCAGCGTGTGGGGGTGTGACTTAGAGCCTGATCCTAATTCTAGAGCACCCATTGGAACCTTCTAGAAGCGTGCTGTGAAAGACAGGTGAGCAGAACCGGGACATGACTGTCTCTGTCTCATCATGAAGAACAACTAACTCCAGAGGGCTGGAGTGAACTTCTAATAGGACGGACCCAAGCTTCCAACTTGAATCCAAGACCAAAGACGTGTGGAAGTTATTCAGAACAGTCTGGAGGTCTTTGTTTTACCCAGCACCTCAGCCTGCCTGTGTGGCTGACCTGTTCCCCAGCTTCTACACACCAGCAGCTGCCATTAGAGGGACATCTGAGACTCCAGCAGGAGACTGATGGCAATTAGCACGTGGAGCAGCTTGAACATGGTGTCACTGTGACAGCTTTGTCAGTTTTTCTCTGGAAGCAAGCTCATGAAGGACCTCTAGAATGTTCTTTCTTAAACGGTGACACAGGGAGCATGCAGGGCCTGCCTGCCGTGGGCAGAGAGGAGCAGTAATTAAGTTGGGCAGGGAAAAGAAAAATCGCAGATATGTGGAACGTTTTAGGTTTTTAGATAACATGTTTTCCAAAATGAGACTAATTCTGGAACTGGCCCATGGGCATTGCAGGTTGTGACACCATTTGAAAATGCTTTTAAAATAATGGTTCTATTTTTTGCTCAGAATAGTTCACATAAAGGAAAAAGAAACAGTACACTATTCTGCTCCCCTACTGATGAAAGCCTTTTGCTCCTGCAGCCTAAACAGGGATCAGCACTGCAGAGATGGGGATCCAACACTGTAGTTGTCTTTAGAAAAATGACTTCCGGCTTTAACAAACTCTCAATCTATTTTAACCGGATGAGATTTCGTTTTACCCACCATCTGATGAATAGAATATATAGAATGAATTTCGTTCTGAATTTTTTATTAGTTCCTTACACATGTGGAACCAACCAGTAATACAAATGTGACTGTGAATCATTAATTAAGCAACTATCACAGTGACTATAAAGTTCTATAAAAACATGACTGCAGAGACAAACCCCTTTAACTGTCTTTAGAAGAAACATTTACTGGGAACTTCATTTAAGTGAATACAACAGAGATGAAATGGCTTTGGTGCCTGTGGTCCATGAATCAGTCCCATAAGGCCCGGGGTTAGCTGGAAGTTAAATCTGGACTGCCTGTTAGGGTAAATAAAGTATTTTTGTAACACGGCTGTGTCTGTTAATTTGTGTATCTTCTGTTTGCTTTTGTCCTCAGAGGGAGAGTTCATTATTTGTGACAGAGACTGTGTGGTCCACAAAGCCCAGTAAATACACCACCTGGCCCTTCACAGAAACGCTGTCCAACCCTCCTCAGCTCATCCACCACCCTCCGCGGGCTCTGTGAGCATGCTTGAACTGCCATCAGCTTCCTTCCGTGAGTGGACAAAGGTGCTCAAGGGTGTAGAGAAGGTGCCCAAAATACTTCATGATTTGGACTACTTTGAAATACCAGGAATATTAGTAGATGCATTTGTCGTTTTGAAAATAGAGCATGAAGCTATTCATTTATCTACTAAATGTTTTACAAACTTTGATCATCAAAATAATAAAAATGATTCTATTCATTCATTTACAGTCTTGAAAAATATTTTTAGGGTACAAATAATTGATTTTTTTCTGTTTTTTTAAAAGCACATTACAGAGTAGCTAAAAGCACATTAAAGAGAAGTAAATTAGTAGCTACTATTGTGTTTGAAAGTATCTTTTAAGAATGTCATGTTAAAGCATTTGTGCACATGCCTTCAATGAAAGGACATGGAAACATAACTTGAAATATTCTCATTCTTAAATCCTGATTCAGAAACACTAAGACATGAAAATTGAGGTTTAGGAATAAATGCTTTAAAATATGGGTGATATGTTCTTTCATAAAATACAATTCCTCCAAAAACTAAATATAAAGGAAAAAATTTGCATTTGAACATGAATGTGTTTAAACCAATCCAAATCAATTCTTATTTTATTTATAGCTTTTAAAAATAAGTACATTATAAAGACACATCAAAATGAGATTCACTGTGGTATATTCATATTTGCACATAGGCTAGTTTGGTCAATTTGATTCCTTTGTTCCTTCAGCTTCCTGTCCCTTCTCCCCCCTCCTTAATTCCCTTCCCTACTCCACTGACCTCTCTCCTATTTTCATGAGATTACCTCCTTCCCCCACCTTATTTTGGTCTAGATTTCAGGAGCACTAAAATCAGCATGTCATAGTGATCCTGCCACACGAATGTTTGTAGCAGCGCAGTTCACAATAGGCAAGTTATGGAACCAGCCCAGATGCCCGTCAACAGATGAATGGATACAGAAGATGTGGTACATATAAATGAGGGAGTTGCTCAGCCATTAAGAAGAATAAAGAGGTATTTCCCAGTAAATGGATGGAACTATAGAACATCCATCATGTTACATGAAACAAACTTTATGTAGAAAATGAAGGATTAAATATTTTCTTTCAAAGTAATTTTATGATAATTATTTTTAGTTTTCTAATGAATAGTAAGAAGGAGGGAAAATAAAAGAAAAATTAAAAACCCAATTTCATATTTGACAAGAAGAGGATAAAAAAGACACAATTTGAGGTATCTTTATTTCCTTTAGGTTTCTCATTAATTGCAGTATAATTCAGACTTAGTTCACAATCATTCCAGGCTGGATTCATCTGTGAGTCATATTCCAATGAACTGAGTACTTGACCATATCTCTGAACCTTAATGCATGTCTGCAGTCAACCACAGGTGCCTGCTGAGCTTATTACAACAGCAGAGTCTCCATCAGGGAGAAATTTCTCACCTTCACATGAAGAGTGGGCTAAGTAGATATAATTCTGCCAAATTCCTTTTGGTGGAATTCAACAGGCACCATTTGAAATTTTGATATCTAGACACATAAACAATCTTAAGAGTAGAAGCAGTAGTCTCTGTGGACAATTAAGATAAAGGTGGATATGTCACCGGGAGCATGAGGGAGCTCCACATCAATCCTGTAAATACACACACACACACACACACACACACACACACACA